AGGAGGTAGCTGTATGGGGATGAATTGTATGAGAACGTGATGGTTGAGTGGTTAATTTGAGGTGGGATATGTTTCCCTGAAGAGATGATTCCTAAAGGATCACCTAAAGGCAGTCAGAGTGGGAAATAGACGGACAGGTTGGGGTTCCAAAGGGTGGGAGAGACTTTAGAGAAGTCCTGGAGGCAAGCATGAGAGGAGTTGACGAGGGAGCTGGAAAGCAGGAGGTCAGAGCAGAGGGGACGGTTAGGGTGATACTTTGAGACAAGGTTGGAGGTATAGCCAGGGGCAGAGTTGTGGATGGCTTTGTAAGTGGTTGTTAATATTTTGAATTTTATCCTTTGGGCTATTGGAAGCAAGTGGAGGGGTTGGCAGAGGGGTGTTGCAGACACTGAGTGGTTGGTCAGGTGAATGAGTCTAGTAGCAGTATTCATGATAGACTGAAGGGGGGATAGTCTGTGTAGAGGTAGGCCAATGGGGGTGGAGTTGCAATAGTCAAGATGGGAGATAACAAGTGAGTGAATGAGTAGTTTTGCGGTTTCATTGGTGAGCAAGGGGCATATTTTGGAGATGTTACGAAGTTGAAGGCGGCAGGATTTAGATAGTGATTGGATGTGGGGAAGAAAGGTGAAGTCTGAGTCAAGGATGACACCTAGCACCTTGGCATGGGGGAAGTGTTGGATAGTCGTGTTAACAATCTCAAGGGAAAAGTTTGGGGAAGGTGCACGGGCGGGAGGAAATATCATGAGCTCAGTTTTTGAAAGGTTTTAAGAAGTGTTGTGACATGCAGACTGATATGTCAGTTAGTAGATTAGTGACAGGCAAGGACATTGAGGAGGTGAGTTGTGGAGTAGAAAGATATATTTGAGTGTCATCGGCATAGAGATGGTATTGGAAGCCATGTGAGGTTATCAACTGACCAAGTGAGGAAGTGTAGATAGAGAAGAGCACATTCTACACTTTTGGCTCGAAAATGACTTGAAACCACAAGAACATGGCATTGTTTCTGTAGACCAGTAGAATTAAACGATGGTAATACAATTTTTTATGTCACTTGATATTTACCTTCTCTCATAACTTTACTTTGAGTAAAAATTACTTTTCAATTAATTATAGTGAACATAGACACATTATAATTCCCACATTTTCTGTTAAATATAAAAAATGAGACCGTGTTGAATAAATAGATACCAAATAAGTCAAGCCTCAAAATAACTTGCACCTGCAAAACAGCAAATAATGACACCCAAAATGATCAATAGACAATGTTTTGCATTTTGATATTTTTATTGTTTCATACAAGAACAAGGAAATTGTATAACCAGAACCAACTGAATGAGGTATACAAACACATAAAAACACCATATAACATATCAGATAATATGGAACCACATGTACTAGGATCCTGATCAGTCAAAAAGGATATAACACGGAGAAGTACATGACACTGTGAAATAGTAATACATCGGTATACAGAAGTCATCATATGATAGAAAATAGTTAGAGTAGTTCCACCACTTGAATAACACAATCCATAGTTTACCCCAACATAGGAAGTACCCAATAGATGATGTTTTAAAAACTCTTTCAGCTTATCAGTTTAAAGTTTATTATACATAATAGCTCTATAATTATTCTAATTATTTCTCTTTCATGCCTATTATGTGTTGTGTAATTGTCATTTACGTACACATGTATGCTCTACACAGCATGCTTACACATTATGTTACTCTTACCTCCCAGTGTGCTCTCCTATAGCAATGTAACACCTGTGTTCCCCCTCGTTGCTCTGTCCCCACTGCTGACATCTTCTCCTGTACTTCTTCCAGGTCTGGGGTTTTCTTTCTTTTCTGTTGGCTGGCAAGAGATGACCTAACTCCCATGCACGTGCGCAGGAGTTACTTTGTCTCGGCCCCCTTCTCTTTCTAATATGTCGTAATTCTACCCTTAGCTGACCATGTGGCAGCCAGTATACAATTGATGAAAAATGTATAATATGCAGGAAGGGTGAACTTAGCTTAGTGAACAAGGTGAAGCTCTGCTGACTTCCATCACCCAATAACATGCAAGAAAAAATTATAATTATGTTTTATTATTTTTGTTGCACATGATTGGGTATTCTTTGCAAAGTGAAATTTCACCACATTCACTAAGCTAAGGGAAACGTTCCCTGCAAAGTGCAAATTCCCTTGCAAAGTGAACAGCCTATTTGAGTTTGAGTAAATCAACTCCACAGAGTCTGTTCTGCCATAAAATCCTACTTGCCAGCAATTTTTACAATTATACTTTAACTATAGTTCCACATTAAGTACTGCTCTGGGAGCATACAGCAGGTATACAAAGTAGAACTATGATTGGGATATCCTGGTTTTTGGAA